GCGACTCCACTGGAGGAGTCATGCTCTAGCTGCCGTAGGCTGCTGTGCAATGAGCAGGGATTTATTTGAGGATGCATTCATGCAGAGCCCCAGTGTGGCTTGTAAGCCGGAGCTTACTACCATACCAAAAAGTACTCCGGGAGTGGAGTGGGAGCGATGCTCAAAGCACCGCGTGATAGCCAAGCTGGTTTAGCGTTGACCATGCTGAAAATGCCAGCGACTTATCACTTCACTAAGTTCAGCGAAGAGATATTTGAGAATTGCATAAAAAATGCATACCCAATTAGGAACGAGCGAAATACTTTTAAACACAAGTGCGTGTGTGTGTTCGCTGCACTTGGTTTATGCGGGAATGCAATATAAATGCGTGTGGGTGTTCGCTGTTCTTTGTTTATGCGGGAAATGCATAAGTCGCTTAAACAAATATGTTAAATTTATAAGATTTCAAGTAAAAAGTTTTATGGAAATTTTTCGATAAAAAAATTTAATTCTTTCAAGCTAGCTAGCGACCCTAAAAATTGTATTAAATTTTTTAAATCTTGGTTGATGTCTTAATATGGGCCTCATACAAAATTTAGATGTTATTTAAGAAAATTTTTAAAATTATTAATTTTTGTTTACAATTTTTGGAATTTGCGTGTATGTCTTAATTTTATGCCCCATACAAAATTTAGGTTTTGATAATAAAAAGAAAAATTTTCAAACATAGCTAGCGACCCCTAAACATTTTATAAAATTTTTGAAATCTTCGTTAATGTATAAATGTGGTGCCCTTTACAAAATTTAGTTGTTGATATTAAAAATAAATAAATAAATTTTTTCAAACACAGCAAGCGACCCCTAAACAATTCATACAATTTTTGAAATCTTCGTTGATGTCATCATTTTGTGCACCAAACAAAATTCAAATGTTGATATTTTAAGGACCGCCCTTGTATGTTCATGTGCTTCTAGTATATTTTTAGTTGTACTTTTCCATACATTATTCTGTGAAGTGGCGTTAACGCCGCTTAACTCTTGAAATGGAGCGCAATTAAAGTGCTGCGCCTTTGCAAGCACTTAGAAAATTATTTCTTAGCGTAGGTTACTGAGCAGCCTAATTTGCTTGGATTTAAACACGCTGAAAATTACACGGATAAGTCATTTTCGCTTAGCCTCAGAATAAGCGACTACCTGGGAGGCAGTAAGTAAGCTTCGTGTAGTCTGTTATTGTGTGATATTATAGCTGTTTGTTATAGGGTATGTGCCATTATATAGGTGTTTTTTTTTTACAAAGAGGATGAGGGGCTGAGTTGCCTTAAAAAATTTATAATCTCGTGTGGCACCGGCTAAATTTCGACTTTTCTTTCTATTTTGGTGGAAGTCAAAATGTCGAAAAGCTCCGTCGCACATCCTAGTATTAAATAAGTAAAAAAGTGGTTAAGAAAGAGAGAACACTGTGGTCTCAAGCATTTGTTGTATATCGATAACAACCTCAACGAAAGTAGGGTGTGAATGAAGCATATAACAGCTACGTGAACTATCAAGTCCCACAAGCTACTAGCCACTATCGCATCACGATCGTAGTGCGAGGTAAGGAGTCGCATCGTTCAAGAGGTGACACTCTTTCCACCGCTACCGATATAGACCGGGACAGGGAAGGTGGATTGTCCAATATACTCTTCATCCTAATCCAAGGTGTCATGCGTTTTTTCGTGCCAATAGTATGGTTTGCAGTCAGTGGCTTTCCAGCTGTATGCCAACGAAGGCACCCGGATACCAGTCCTTTGTACTGTTTACAAGGAAATATAAGATTTCGAGATTTTCGAGCGAGGTTAAATTATACCGACGTAATTCTTAACAGAATGTTGGACTCAAATCGCACTCTACGCCTGTAAAGCAGCGGTCGAGTCTGAAACCGCACATCGTACAATGGATGTACTATACGGCGGTTATCCGACCGTCTCTCTTCTCTGGGATCAGACCTGGCTCTAGAAATGTCCATTTATAGGAGCAAATTGCATAGGGAACAGAGGGCTGTCATCATGTTAATTACAGGAGCCATACCCTCTACTCCCAGTAAGATTCTAGTAGTTCTACTAAATCTTCTTCCTACCGACCTTTACGGTAGATTTTAGCTTGCTGCAATGCAGCAAGATGAACTCCAGCTCATACGTAGAGAGCTTAGGTTTGATCACTCGAAAATTCTGAACACCATTTCCAGCAACTTTACGTGAACTGGATTATATCTACCCAATGCTCTGCTTCGATAGTATTAGAATACCAGACACAACCTACTAAATAAACCGCCCGGACTTATATCCATGGTCTATCGCCATTTTTACGGATGGGTCAAAGCTCGACCACTAGGTTGGTAGCGGAATTTACCCTAAATGCCTCTCACTAAACCTCAGGATGCAGCACACTGACCACTCTACCGTTTAATTATCAGTTATAAGGGAGACTGCTCTATGGCTCAATAGTGCCCCAACATCTCTTTAGCCCGTTATTATTTAACCTGAGAAGCAATCGTCAATGGGATATTTACAGTGCAGCAGTTGTTCTTCGAAAATTCCAGGAATGCGTGTAGGTTTTGGGTTCTTTTTAACGAGGAGAAGGCATCGAAAGCCTATGACGGAGTATAGCGAAAAAATTTAACCCAATAGATCTCCTACCGTACAGCACCAATGACCCCCGGTATATCGTTGAGTTTTTCACTAAGCTCACATGTACGCTACAGTTCTAGCATATTTATTCAGTTAGTTACATAGGCCCCCATACTGGTTTAAATTACCAAGATTCTTCTTCCGTCTTATTCTTCTGTGTAAAGCTTTAAAGACATCAAAATCTCTATGGCCGTTTTTAAGTGAAGAGAGTTTTCGCATGATGTTGTAGCTTCGTTATTAGTGCGCATCTACGGTTCAGATTTGATGACCTTCACAAAAACTGCTTTTGCGCATTACATATATTTATGTAGTTAGATACATATGCAGATAAGAATTTTGGAAAAAGTGGCAATTCTAATCAAAATTTCTTTCAATTGAGCACATATTTTAATATTTTGCATAACTTGTACATATATATATATATATATATATATATGTATATAAGTTAACTAAATTCGACTTTTCAAACATATGGCAACTCTCTTCAAAAGAATTTTCAAACTATAATCTTCTGAAATGTCTTTCGTTTGACATTGTGTTACAGCTTCAATTAAATGATGAATTAACTTGAATTCAATTTCCCAAATAAGTGGAAACTCTCCTAAATATGGTAAAAAGCCTTTTCAAACACATTCGATTGATCCCCATATTTTAATAATTCATTTAACTTGTTCCACATTTTGAATGTAAACTGGTGGCGACCCTCCTCAAATGACTCTTAAATATTCTAGATGTTCAAACAAAAAAAAAAAAACTCTTACCACTCTTCCATTTTCCACCCATATCTAAATATTTCATGTAACTTTATGCATAGTTAAATTAAATCCACCTTATTAAGGAGGTGGCAACTCTCTTCTAAATCTTTTCAAACTAATACCTTCTTAAACCTCTTTCGTCTGACACCCATATTCATATGATTATTTAAATTACCTTAACTTAAACTGAATCTGATTTTCTAAGCATGTGGCAACCCTCCTATATAGTTCAGAAATAAAGCTTTTTCAAACTCATTTCGATTGATACCCATCTTTTAAAAATTCATTTAAATTATTAAATTATTTGAACCTAATTTTTTTAAGATGTGACAAGCCCCTTCAAGCACCTCAAAACTATTTTAAATGTTCAAACTTAACTTGACACGCATTTCATGCAACTTGTATAAACGTAAGTGAACTAAATTCGACCCTTCCTACACGTGGCAATACTCTTAAAAAGTATTTTCAAAGTAAAATTTCTTAAATCTCCGTCGTCGGACATTGTGATACATATTTCAATTAACTGATAAATTTAGTTGAATTGGTTTGTTAAACATGTGGCAACCTCCTTCAAATTAGTACAAAAATAAAGCCTTGTTAACACATTTCGATTGATTCGCATATTTTAATAATTCATTTAACATTTTAGCTGATTTGAATTCAACATTTTCACCAGGTGGCAGCCCACTTCATAAACCGCAAAAATATTCTAAATGTTCAAGCTAAAGAGTTCTTAAGACTCCTTTGTATGTAACCGATATTATATTATTTTTCAAACTAAAACCTGCTTAAATTTCCTTCGTCCGACACCCAAATTGTGATCATATTTCAATTACCCAATTGCCTTAAATTAAGTTGAACTCAGTTTTTTAAACCCTTCTACATGTAGTTAAGAAATAGGGCATTTTCAAGACCATTTCGATTGCTACCCATATTGTAATAATAGATTTAACTTCTTAAATAACTTTACTTAAATTTTTTGAAAGGTGGCAACTCTTTTCGAAAAGAAAACAACTTTATTTTACATTTGCAGGCCAAGCCCTTTAATATGGCAACCAACTTTTTAAAATCGAACGAACAGTGTGGATCTGATGGCGCTGATTATTAAATAATTCAAATTAAAT